TGGCAAATTTGGGGTGTCTATTACTTTTAGTATAATTTAGCTGCAAGTTTGGGTATTCTCATTTTTTAATAATGACTGTATTTAACATCCGGCTTTCAAAACTGCTTGAAAACTTCATAAGCAGCTCCTGAGGGTCTAGCTGGTTCCAACGTGGTATAATACTGGAGTATATCATATGTTGCAGGCTATATGTACAGCCAAGTGTGTCCTCACAGCATTTTACAGACTATGGCCCCTGTGCCTTTGTGTATTCACAGACTCATTCTCCAGAACAGTGAGTGTCACTAATCCACCCAGTGTGAGTGTTTCCTCTGTACTTATGTGTGGAGGCTCTATGTTTTGAACATTATTTAAGCCCTAGGTTGAAATTTTGTTTTTGTACAGGCTAGAAAACAGATGAACACATACATTTTCAGACGGTCTCTTTGTGAAGCCTTTGTACAAAGAATGCACATCGCAGATGCTTATGGTCTTGAACCATTAGCATAACATATGTTCCTGCTCCAGAGTGGCAACATGTGCCTCTGTTCCAAAATAGCTTGTGTATGAGCACCCGCATTCGTATCTTATGCTTAGGGTCTGGCTGTGGAGGAGGTACAAGGACTTCCACGCCAAAGGAAGTGTTTCTATATGCTGACCCAGACAGAGTGGGTGTATTATTTCTGTCACTGAGATGGTCATCATTCCCCTGTCCTCATCATCATTACCAATAAGCACTGTTTATCAAGAGCTGTCATGTGCATCTCACTGTGACAGACACCATGCAAATCAAGTGGCATCAATGATCCTATGAAGGTCAAGTTCAGACGCACAAAAACAGCAGTAGTATTGCACCCCTGCCATTTCAGGGCAGGAGACAGGGTATGTGATGTGAGGGTAAGGCTGCAATGTTCCCAGCATTCCCTGCGGGGCAGGGAATTATGGTACAGTAGGTGCTAAAAGGGGGTGAGCTAAGCAGCTACTGTGAGCCTCAGAAACTCTCTGGTTGAGCAATAATGAGATGAAGGGAAGAAAATGACGGAGAAAAGGACAGAGGAATGAAGGGCAAGAGAAAGAAAGAGAAGGTAAGATAGTGAGACAAAAAGAGAGAGGCAGACAAACAGAGAGACATGGGGAGTGACTGAGAAATACAGACAGAGGAACAAATGGGGAGAGAAGGGAAGGATAAGAGAGACACAGAGGGGATTAGATAAAAAGATACAGAGATTGATGGAAAGAGACAGAGACAACAAGAAAGACAGGAAGAGGAGAGAAGAGACTGGCAGAACAAGAGAAAGTAAGGGAGGCAGAAGAGGAATGAAGCTCAGAAGAAGGAAACTGGGAGGTCAGCATGAGGGGGTAGAACAACGGTATGAGGGCATCTCTAAGCCCTGTCCTCCATTCCACCCCACTGTTCTGTCCTCTCTCCACCTACCATCACCACACTGGCAAGGAGCTAAGTGGCAGGAACTGATGCTGCGAATCCACATGGCTCCAGGGGATTGATTTCTGGGTGAACTGGGGAATGGTCCTTCGATAGCCAGCTGGAACAGAGACATTGCTGTTTCCTTGAGCATTTGCTTTATTTTAAAAATGGGGGAAACATGTGACTCTCATTGAGAAGGGGAAACAAAATAAACATTGAGGGTGGATGGGGAGAGAGGACTGAATGGGGGTGGGGTTGGCCGTGGGGATAGGAACAAGAGGAATCAGGTGTGGAGAGGATGAAGGGAGAGAATACTGGAAGACTATTTGAATTAGGGGCATCTCTGGGACCATCTAGAAACCAGGGGCAATGGAAACTCCCAGGAATAAGACTCCTAGCAATCGGGGATATGGAGCCTGAGCTAGCTGTTTCCTGTAACTAGGCAAGACGTCCAGTGGAGGAACTGGGACATCAACCAACCCATAAAACCCTCGACATACACTTTGTCCTGACTACAAGATTTGCTGCGGTAAAGGTGGCACAGAAATTGTGGCAGTGGACAACTGATGACTGACCCATGCCATGAGAGGGAGCCCACTTCTGACACGACCTGGAAGGCCAGGAGCCAGAGGCTGAGTAGCTCACAGACTCATGATAGAACCAAACACAAATGGACAAAAAGTTAATTAAATGATTCCTGATGATGTGCTGCTGTAATTATGGATTGGCATCATCAGAGAGGCTTCACCCAGCAAATGATGGAAACAGATGCAGAGACCCACAATCAAACGTTAGGTGGGGCTAGGGGAATCCTGTGGAAGAAGGGAAGGACTGCAGAAGCCAGAGGGGGCAAGGACACCACCAGTAAACCCACACAATCAACTAACCTCAGCTCTTAGGGGCTCACAGAGACTGAACCATGAACCAGGGAGCCTGCCTGGGACTCACCTAGGACCTCTTTATATGTGTTACAGTTGTGTAGCTCTATCTTCTTCTGAGACTCCTAACAGTGAGAGCAGGAGCTGTCTCTGACTCTGTTGCCTGCCTTTGGGACCCTTTCCCCTTACTGGGTTGCTTTGCATAGCTTTAGTAGAAGAGCACGTGCCTAGTCTTACTGCAACTTGTTATGCCATGGCCGGTTGATATCCACTGAGGTCAGCCCTTTTCTGAAGAGAAATGGAGGAGGAGTAGATTGGAGGGGAGAGGTGTGGGGGAAGGTCCTGGGAGGAGAGAAGGGAGGGTAAACTGTGGTTAGGGTGTAAAATAAATAAAAAAAAAATAAAGTCTAGAAGCCATGGTGTCAGGTGCACCTAAGAGGCTGAGATAGGAGGCTCACTGCAAGTTCAATGCCATTTTGGGCTTTATCGTAAGTTCTGGTTCAGCTTGTGCTACATAGTGAGGGTCTGTTTAAAAAACACCAAGAGAAAACTGGATATGATGCTAACAAAGGTGAGCCTTTGATTTGAGAACAGCCTAGTGTCTACACAGTGAGTTTCAGGACAGCTAGGATTATACAATGAGACCATGTCTCAGAAAAAGCTAAAAACCAGATTAAACCAACCAGCCAACCAACCAGCCAAAAAACACCATCACCACCACCACCACCACCACAACAACAATAGCATCAACAAGAGTCTAGAATCTTTCTCTATCCAGGATATCATTTGACCATCTCTGGAGGTGATACAGCACACACTGCTTTTTTTTAAAGGGGATTTTATTAAAAAGATAAAGCCCTGTCTTTTGAGCTTTACTATCGATGGACTTGCCAGCAACCAATATAAGGTGGGTTTTGTAGCCCCCATTTAATTTAGTGTCTATCGATGTTTAAGATCCCAGAGACAAGATTTCATTTCTGTAGCATTAATTTACTTCATTTTTCTGGGGAGCCATAGAATTAACTTAGAAAACTAGTGTTGTCTGAGGGTATCAAGAGAATTTTTGTTAAAGTAAAAGTTGCTGCTTTTTCCGCCTTTCACTCCAAGAATAGATGAAAATATTGCAAAGAGGAATACATTTTCTTTTTAAAGATGAGCTGTGTGGAGACTGTATAAGCTGTTCCCTGTGATACAGAAATAAGGGCTTTGATTTATGGTCATTTTTGCCTTGTCCTTGTTCTGCCAAGCCAGGGGCAATCAAAAGTGGGGCCTAAATGATACTCTTTTTTTTTTTCTATAGCTACTTGGTAATTTCCCATGAGAATTTGGAACCACTGATGATAGAAGCTCATGAGTTCCCTGCCTTGTAGCCCCAGAACCCTCACAGTGGTGTAGAGGAGGAAGTTTATGAGGCTTCTTCTTCCCACCTCAGACCCGGGATGTTGACTTCTGGGGGTTGGGGTGACACCCTGCATTTCCCTACATTGTTTCATGTCTGATGTCCCCACCTTGAAGTGCAGGCAACACTGAACCCTCCTCGCCCCTGACTTTGTGTTCTCTTCAGTAGAATGAAAGTCATCTCGTAGAGCTGATGTCTCTTCAGGGCATAGAATTTCAAATGGACTCCGTTGGTTCAAGTATCTTTGTTGAGCCCAAAGATACTTGTGCAGATACTGACAACACAACCTGTGCTTTTTGGGGGCTTTGATTTACTGAAGGAGCTCTTGGGATTGTGGGGGACAGCTTGTCTTATATTCTCTAGATCCTATACTGGTGGCAGGAAGCTGAGGACTTTGGGTGTAAGACACTTCCTGTTTCAGATGATATGCTCGACTTTCCTTGTGTCCTTGACCTTTATTTCTATTCTACCTTCTCCAGCCCATCTCCATTTGTGCCTTTCAAGACCAAGATTCTCACTTACACCTGGTTGGGGGGATCATTGCCAGGCCACAGAGGAGAGGATGCAAGCAGTCCTAAAGAGACTGGATAGGCTGGGGTCAGATGGTAGGGGAGGAGGGCTCCCCCTTTCTGAGGACTAGGGAAGGGGCCGTGAGAGAGGGAGGGTGGGACCAGAAGGAGATGAGGGAGGGGACTACAATCGGGATGTAAAGTGAATAAACTATATAAAAAAATAAAATTAAAAAAGACCAAGATTCTCATATTGAATGCTTGCTGTGGCAACTAGAAATGGCTCGGTATGTGTGTTTGCAGGTTCTTTTGTGTCAGGTACACGGAATCAAAACTATGAATATGCAGGCGCTGGCGCAATGGCTTAATTGGTAAATTTCTTGCTGCTCAAACATAAAGGCCCGGGTTGGATGCCTCAGAACCCACATAAAAAGCCCAGTGTGGTGGTGTGTTCTTGTAACCTCAGCGCTGGGGAGTCAGAGACAGGCAAATTCCTGAGCTCACTGGTCAGCCAGTCTAGCCCAACTGGTGATCTCCAGGTTCAGGAAAAGACTTCACCCCAAAAGATAAGGTGGGAAATGACTGCGGAAGGTGGTGAGCATTGACTTCTGGTCTCCGCACGTCCCCATACGTGTGACCTTAGACAACATTTGAACACGTATACCAGGGTCTTAGGCACCCGAATCCCTGGTAACAAGCACTGAGTTTCTCTGGCCCCACTGAGCACTAAGACGTAGTTTGGACCTGCCATTTTGCTGTCCGCGTTGGAGTCTGTAGCTGACCTTAGAAACAGCTTACTGGGCTCTTACCTGGCAATCTTGTCTGTGCAGGACATGGTGACTAGCTGTTCCCCCAGCAGGATGCCATCCCACGTCTGGACTGCACCGGGGCCCCGGACAGGGACTGTCCCTTCCCCAGACTCAATCTTGGTGCGCAGGTGCCCTCGGAACTTCCTGACGATGTGTTTGCTGCTGTTCACTAGGAGAGAAGAAGTGACCGTGAAAGATGGCAGGAACACTGGTCCAGAGACAGCATGGGTTGTGGAGGCAGCAGAAGGAAGCACAGCAGAGAAAGGTAAACAGTCTGGGCCCAGGAGGCAGGTCTTAGAAGTGAAGTCAGGGTGGAATTTACTCTTTTGAGCAGCGGCATGGGTAAGATCTGGGCTGCAGGTTTAGCCTGGGGGGTTGGCCAGGTGTCCTGTGAAGGGCCGACAGCAAATGTCTGAGAGACTGTGGAGCTCCTCCTTTTGAGTCACAAAGCTGTCACTGGGTGATTTGTCACAAACGAGTCTAATACTCGATTTCTGGACATCAAAATTTAAATGTCTAATTTTTATAAGTTGTGAAACCCCGTCAGACGATCATATCCACAGGTTCTGTAGCTGTCGATTCAACCAACTGTGGCCCAAAAACGTTTGGCTCAAAAACTGTTATCTCTTCTTTTTCTTGTTATTATTCTCTAAGTGATATAGCACGGCAGCCACTTTTTTTAAAAATCATATCTACATTGCATAAGGTGTTACAAGTAAGCTAGCAGTGATTTGGAGCTTCTGGGAGGATGAACGTAGGTTATATGTGCCCACCACAGCAGTTCTCTAAAGGACTGGAGCATCTGTAGTATCTGTGGGGAGTCCTGAACAATCCTCGCAAATACCGAAGGATGTTGTAGCGCTCTTTTCAGTTTTGTTCAAAATAAACTTTACCAAAATTTAAGGATATAACAATACCAGTTTTACATAAACTTTTCCAGAAAGAACAAAAAGGGAAGCATCCTTCCCAGCTCAGGGGATATGTAGATACAACCCACAGAGATAACTGTGAGAAAGAAAGGCATAAACCCATATCCCCCATGTACATAAATTCTAAAGAAACTTTTACAAACTAAGTGTAATCACATAGAAGAGGTAATTGCTTATGGTTAAGGAAGTTTAGTTCAGAAGTGTCTTTTCACTTTCCCCCTAGCCATTAACAACTGTAGAGCCATGCCTAGCTTTTGGTTCATAAATTGCATCTCTTCCTTTTCTTATTATTCACTAAGCAACATAGCACAATGGTCATTTTTAAAACCATATCTACTTCTGATCTAGGAACCTGTCACAGGGGGCCTCTGAAAGCCTCTGCCCTGCAGACTATCAAAGCAGACGCTGAGACTTAAGGCCAACAGTTGGGCAGAGTGCATGGAATCTTATGTAAGAAGTGGGAAATAGTAAGAGCTGGAGAGGACGGGAACCCCACAAGGAGAGCAACAAAACAAGAAAATTTGAACACAGAGGTCTTTCCAGAGACTCATACTCTAACCAAGTACCAAGCATGGAGATAACCTAGAACCCCTGCACAGATGTAGCCCATGGCATTTCAGTGTCCAAGTGGGTTCCATTGTAATAGGAACAGGGACTGCCTCTGACATGAACTGGTTGGCCTGCTCTTTGATCACCTCCCCCTGAGGGGAGAGCAGCCTTACCAGGCCACAGAAGATGACAATGCAGCCACTCCTGATGAGATATGATAGACTAAGATCAGAAGGAAGGAGAGGAGGACCTCCCCTATCAGTGGACTTGGGGAGGGGCATGCGTGAAGAAGGGGGAGGGAGGGTGGGACCAGGAGGGGAGGAGGAAAGAGCTTATGGGGGGGATACAAAGTGAATAAAGTGTAATTAATAAAAAAAAAACTAGCAAAAATAAGTAAAAAAAACAACTTTTATTTAAACTTCTAACCTTTTTTTTTCCCTAGAAATAGTTATTCATAGTTGACAGTAACAAACCCTGCCAAAGAGCTAAGTTACTATATACCAACAGACCCTGCCACAGGGTCCAGCTGACCTTACATTTTACTATGATTCAATAGTGTTCTAACTCATACTTTGTTATCTCTACGCTTGCCTGCACTCTTGATACCTGGTTGCACTTGTGGTATCCACAGACCTGGCTGCACCTGGTTGCATTTGGGTTGCACTTTGGAGGACCATCACTTACCTCACTTAGAATCAATCAGCTTAAGGTTTGCTGATAATGCTTTGTCTAGTCAGCCAAAAATGTGATATTGCTTTGAAGAGGCAGCCAAAATGTATTACTGCACTCCCCATGCCTTTTATTTGGGTTGGTCAATAAAAGACTACCCTGAAAGCAGGTCGATGTCACAGTTAGGTTCCTGAGTCCTTACTGCTGCCCTGATCAATTAGCTTGGAAAAGGTGTTCTAATAAACCATCACTATCTAGCTGAAAAAAAACATATCTATATTGTACTAGGTATTATAAGTAACCCAGTAGTGATTTAGACATGTCATAAATATATGTATTTATGTATGTATATGATAGAAAGTCGAATGGGGATTGTTATTTGGAGGGAAGAAGGAGACAAGCAGAATTGGAAGGGAGGATGAAAGTGGATATGAGCAAATACAATGTTATGTATGTGTAAAACATCATTACAAAACTCACTTTTTGTTCAGTAATGGAAGATATATATCTTATATATCAATATATAAGATATATATTGATATATATTTTCAATATATAAATATATATTGATATATATTTTCTATATATATCTATATATCTTACATTTCCTATATGTCTCAAAAATACTTGAGACAACTTGCGTTTAATCCTTAACTTGTTCACAGTTCAGATGGGGTCCTTTCCATATTAAATTTCTGTGGCAGACAGCATTGGGAATGGAGCAGCTAACAACTCTCACAGCTTCTACAGTGTTGCCCAAGGGCACGGGACTTTACTCTTCCATGCGGGAGGCAGATTTTCAGAGAATATGGTGCTTGCTGTCCCTCCAGTTCTGATAAGTCCACGGTCTCCAAAGATGTCAACTCTGTATCATTTTCCAGGCCTTGAAAGATATTTTTAAATGCTTTCTAAATTTTCACCATTTGTTAATGTCAAGCAATAAAAAAGGCTGGTTCGAGTTACAGTATTTCCTGGGAGTCAAGAAAATCTTCACCAGTTATGCATCTGACAAAGGCTTACTATCTAGAAGAAGTGACTTTTAGTTATTTGTCTCCACCTTGATGGACCTTGGCCTGCCTAGAACCACAGGAAATCACAGGATTGTGCAGTTTTGGGTTTTATGGGAGGAACAAGTGTCTCTGGCTTGCAGAGGCTGTTGCTGAAGCAAAATTTCTCTCCTGCTGCATTAACATACCATGCTGACAGTCATATGTTCTGCACAGAGCACTGTGTGGCCTTGGCAGATACTCTGTCACACTCTCTTCTCCTTGAAGACTTCTCTCTACTAAGCAAGAAACAAATGACCATTCTGGTCAGGATATGATTTAAAGCAGTTTTAAGCCAGTGACCCACAACATGACTGATTATATGATCCACCTCTGCTGTAACAGAATATTGGTCAAAGGAGAAGTCTGACAGGAGCCAAAATTTGAAAAACTTCTCAGGTGACTCCGTATATAAACCATTATTGGAAACAATTGTACATTCCCAAGCTTGCAGACAACATAGATCCCTAGATATTACAAACCAATTGTCATCGACTCTGTAATTAAAGACTGGGAAAAAGTAAAACAGGGAAACACAATTTACAGACATGCCAGGAAACCATGGCTTGTTGATAACACCAGGGTCCTTGTCTTGGCCCTTGGATTTGGTAACCCTGTATGTGGCCTCAGGAAGTTGCGATCGTTACCTAGAGTTGGGCCAGCAGGGCTTGACAGACTCAGGCAACCTGAGATGTGAGCTAAAAAAGTCTCTGGTAGAAGGAAGTTACTTTGTACTGTTGGGGAGTTGGACAGATCCTCCTAGAAATTCCAAGTTAGGCTTTGTTCTTTCCTGGGCCTGATAGTTATGTGGTGGTGACCTCTGAGGCAGTGCAGGCCATTGCTTTTGCCCTTGGTTGCATCCCACAGGCTGAAGGTAAGCACCTGTTGCTGAAGACTACACATGCAGGACACGGGACTTAGACGACTTGAGCTACAGCCAACCTGAAAGCCTTTATCTTCTTCTCTAGCTTTTGTAGCAGTAGAGTGTGCGATATAGGCTGCCAAGAGAGGGAAACAACTGAAGGCGCTATCTTGCTGTGACACCGTGAACAACAGTGATCAGCACGGCATGATATCTATAACGGTGAAGTAGTGCCGTCCACATGTGGTGGTGTATGACAACTAAGTGGATTTAAGGACCCCTCCGCAGTAGGGAAATAATGCCTGTCACCTAGAAACCTAGACAACCACCTGGGAATGGTGAAGTCATGGATCTTAGAAGAAAATCTACTACTGCTACTTTGCTAGACTAGCATAATTGCCAACTGCATTCTAAATCTTATCCTATACCCACAGATAGGTGTAGCTATCACTCCTCTCCAAAAAAAGCTTCCCTATCCAGCAAATGGAGATCATTAGAAAAAAAAAAAACACCAAACAAACCCACAACTACACACAATGCAGAGAATGGGCTGTGTGTACTGGAAACTCAATAAATACATCTGCATCCAGCACAGCTCCTACACCTATGGCTCAAGGGACATATCAGAAAGATTGGAAGAGCCATAATACTGAGAAGTCTGCTATGAGACTGTCTCTCCTAGGAATGGGTGTATAAGCAAGACTCGAACAATGACAACAGCAATAGACATGCTAATATGAAAGAAGGCGAATATTATGGAGTCGCACCCTTAGACAAAGAATTACAGGCAAATGCCTGCTGAAAGAAGAATTAATCTCTCCCAGGGATGAGTCTTCTAACTGGTTATCCAGTACAAAGTGGCCAGCCCTGAAAACCATATACACATAAACAAAAACCCGACTTAGTACGTTTTATTTATATATTTGTGCAAAAATAGATTCATCAGGTTGTATTAATATATTTGTTTATCTATCTAGTAGGTTTTATTCATATATCTGTGCAAACATAGACTCATCAGATTGTATTTATATATTTGTCTATCTATCTATCTATCTATCTATCTATCTATCTATCTCTCTATCTCTCTATCTCTCTAACTATAATACTCAGAGAAAAAGAGGCTATCAATATGAGAATGTGGGAGTGGACATGTAAAGGGTTAGAAGGAACATAGGAGGGCCTGAAGTGAGAAAAGGAAAGTGATGTAATTCCATTTTAATTTAAAATGTATTATAAACAATTGCTCAAAACAGTGGGAAGTGTTGGGGGATACATGTCTGTTTGCAGAGTCCTTGCCTTGCATGAATGAAGCTTTGAGTTAGATCCCTGGTACCACATGAACTGGGTGTGGTGTACATACCCATTATCCCAGCAGATCAGGAGAAATAGATGGAGGGTCAGGAGTTTGAGGTCATCTGTGTCTATGTAGCAAATTAGAGGCTAGCTTGGGATTTGTAAGATTCTGTTTCAAGAAAATAAACTTAACCAAGCTAAAAACAACAACAACAACAAATGTAAACAATCAAACAAGCACAACACACCCTGAAAACCTAAAACCATAATTTTTCCTTAGGATGCTTTACTCTGTGTCCCTACACTAATTAAAAGAAAGGTGAACAATTTATTCCACGTGGTTAAGTCTCGTGAGACTTGTGGTCATGTTGTAGTTGTACTTGCAGTCTCTGATAAATCATGGTATGTGGCCACATGGACTTATGCACGTATGTGTTATAGATTAAATGCACATGAGCTCGAGTATATGTGTTTGTACATGCATACGTAGGCACATGTATATATGTATGAGAGAGAGAGAGATCCTGCCACAGTCTTGAGTTGATAAAGGTCAGCACACTGCAGCTCCACGAGGAGCTGTGTAATAGCTCTAATGGACCTAATGACAGAGTGAGACTAAAAGAAAAAAAGAGGTTCAATGAGCAGTGCCATCAGCACACTGTGCAGGGCAGTGACAGAATCTCAGGAGAACAGCCCTGTCCCAAGAGTTTCCTTTGCTTGCAGTGCCTTAGATCCAGGATGAAGATTTCAATGAATGAGCTTATGTTCTTCAGCTTCTGGCATAGTAATACCATACTGACAGTTAAAGTCAGGCAAGATGGCTTCCAGTGCTTTGTTTGGGAACATGGGCCCTGAGCTGCTCTTGCAATGAGGCTGGAGTTTCTGACAATTATCTTGTATGGAGTAGATGATGTCAGCTTTGGACCTCTAAAACTAGAGCTAGCTGGAATTTTCCCAGCATTCCTCTGCAAGTCTTCCTACAGAAGGATTTGCCAATATTGTCTTTTGCTAGCTCTTTGAGGAGTCCCCAAAAGTCAAGACCTGACCACTTGAATTCTGTTATCTAGCAATCCAGCCCTCCTTACAGGGGAACAATAACAACAACAATAAACATCAGTGTACGGTGGACAGCAGGGAGAGTTGTGACAATCTGTCTAAGGTAGAAATTGAAGAAGCTGCTCCTGAGAGTGTATGCCTTCCTCAGGAGGCCTGAGGGATGCTGAGCAATCTTTTGGAAGGCTTCTTCCAAGCAGAGGAGAGCAGGCAGTTGGCTTTTCTTGCCCTTATGGAGTGATGAGGGGAAAATGATGCATGGCTTTTAGCTGATGAGGCCACTTTGCAAAACTGCAAGTGCCTGCCTTCTCTGCACTCCCCAGTGGGTCAGGAGACACCAGCTTAAATCAGAGGCATGCAGGCACTGGCATCTTCCCCTTGCTTGCCATATCTGTAGCAACACTGTGAGGGAAAGGCTTCATTTTCTCTCCTCCTACCAGCACCTGCCACTTCTTAAACGCACCATGAAATAAAAGACATCTGTGGTGGAAGCGAACCTCAGGGGGCCTCTGAGAATGCATTTGTTTGCTTTTCTAAACCACTGACATTGCAAGTTGGAACTGAGGGCTGAGAAGCCACACTTGGTGCTTGATGTACAGAGACATGGGAAACCCAATGAGCCAGAATGGTCCCCACGGGGGATTGTGGCTCCAGGCAGGATTGACATTTTTGTGGTCCTCACTTAGCCCTCTCCTAACTCCTGCTGGGGCTACATGGGGCAAGGAGGAAGCTGAGTAAATTAGAGCTAACTCCACATGTTTCAAAGAGCTATTGGGAATAGGCCCAAATTTCACAATTTTCTAGGGCAAGTTAGTGTCATGTAGCTCTAGCTTGATGGATGTTAAGGAGGTGAATCAGCTCTTTCCTTCTTCCCTCAGTCCTTCCCCCTCTCCTTCCTTCCCTCCCTCTGTCCCTTCCTTCCTTTCTTTTAATCTGTCTCTCTCTTTCTACCCCCTCTCTCTCCCTCTCTCCCTCCCACTTTCTGCCTGCCTGTCCCTGCCCCCTTCCCCTCTCTCCCTCCATATCTGCATATATGAGCACAGGTGGGTGGGTATCTCACCATGAGGAATTCTGGGCTTGCAGAGGTACCTGGTTCACATGTTCACAGGTGTTCACATGTGTTCCAGGGATTCAAACTGAGATCCTCATGCTTGTACTACTGAGCCATCTCCCCAGCTCAAGGTATAGCCCAGACTAGCCTCAAACTCATGATCCTTCTGCTTCTGCCTGTTCCGCATGTCCGAGGGATGTGCATCACCATGACTGGCCAAATTCGTTTTAGAAGCATGGTGTTATGGTTAATTATTTTGTCATTTTTATCAGTTCTTTGAGAATTTTATACGGTGTATTATGGTCGTATTCAACTTCCTTCTCCTAACTCTTTCCAGGCCTCCACCTTTCCTTATCTACCCAAATTTTGAGAGTCTACTTGATTTGATAAAGGAACATCTAGGTTAGTGGAACATACTCAGGATGTATCTAGAACATCTCCATAAATATGAGCTAAATGTTGCTCTGATCTGACCACTGGAGTAATACTTAATGGATCTGAAACACCATGGTATCATTGGGAGTGATGAAAAATAGGAGGTGGAGCCTTTGGAACAAGGAAGTCACTGGAAGTGTGTTCTTCAGGTTATATTGTCTTCTTGTGTTATCTCCACCTTCTGCTCTCTGATAAGCATGATGTGCACCAGCCACCACGACTTCCTTGTCACGATGGTCTGACACTTCTGAAAACATGACCCCAAACAAACTATTTCTCGTTTAAGCTGCCTTTGTCAGATATTTTATCCCAGAGACACACAGGCCTAGAAAACTCTTCCAGAACAGACAATGCAACTAAGCGCATGCACACACACACACACACATTTCTACATAACCACAGCTAACATTTTCTGGGTTTCCTTTGACCTAAATAAAACATAAAATATTTTGTGCAAAAAATAAAAGTAATATGTGTATATTAAAGGGATATGATCTTAATAAAGTTATCAAGCCATCAAATATTTCCTGTGCTCAGAGAAAGTCTCCAGGAAACACAATACACACCATGGTTATTTAGGGTTGGTTCTAACTCTCTTTTTTTTTTCTTGTAGGTGAGGATACATTTATTATCTAATCAAAGTCAGAAAAAAATGAACATTCATCAAATGCCTGCTATATTCTAAGCTCGTGTAGAGGATGTTCACCAAGACAAAAAAGCCATTGGGAGAAAGTTGTGGGTCTTTAAACCCATATGTGTTTAACCTATTTGTTTAACCCTTAGACCAAAAACTTTTTCAATAAATTCTTTTCGTTTGTCAACTCCATTGGTTTCCCTTTAAGTGAGGGATTGGCAGGGTTTCCCTACATTTCACTTGCTTTAGAAGGCGAATGGGAGAACGAAGCTGAATGGAGAATCAGAAAAAAGAACACACTATCAGAGAAACCACAGGAACTGTCCCCTGGAAGGTGAAGGGGTGGTGGTATCCTGGCCCACAGGATAGTAGACCCAGCCTTGACTCAAGGGAAATGGAAATGGTATATGCCATGTGAGATCACATAGGAAATACTTTGTTACTCTAAAGCTTTTAGAAAAAGAAAATGTGTGTGTGTGTGTGTGTGTGTGTGTGTGTGTGTGTGATAGGAACTTTCTGTTCAAGTTTGAAGGCCATGTAAAGCTGGGTATCTCAGTATTCCAATCGTGAGAAGGGAGGCTGAGAGAGGAGAATCCCCAAAGCTCATGGAGCAGTGAGCCTTGTGTACATAGCCATGAACAACAAAGAAGAGAACCTGTCTTAAACAAAGTGGAGGGTGAGGATGGGTGCTGAGGTCGTCTTCTGATCTCTACAGGTACACTGTATGCCTGTGCACACATATACATTCTCACACATACACACATCATACAAATAAATAAGTAAGGAAAGATTTAACAGGAAAAAGAGTTTGGAAGAGTGTGTGTATGGTACACACACAGATAAACACAAGATGTATGCATGTTATAACAACAGGATAGAATATCACACCATATAAGTGAGAAGGTGAGAGTTCTTGATGTTTCTTTTATCATCAAGACACAGTGGCATCAATGACACCAAAGAGGGGTGGACATCTACCCTTGTCCTTCATGCTGGGGACACACAGTGGTGTTGGAGGTGACTATTGCTGTGGGTCCTAGTGAAGGGTTTAGCAATGGAATTTTTAAGTTAATCCACATTATACTGGCCCTTGGCTATGTTGCAAAAGTTGAGTTTCTTTCTCACCCAAGTTGCAAACGATGGCAAAAAGAGCTTGTTCGAGTTTGCTTCCACCCCATATAATTCTCATTTGCTTCCTCTTTGGTTCCATTTTCTAGCCTGGGATAGAGGGAATGCCTGACCTATTAAAATAAAGCAGAGTGCTTTGGCAATTAAGTAGCTAATTTTAGACCCCGAACTACTTTTGTGTCAATGATCTGAACATTTCAGACTAAGGTTTTGGAGGTATCTAGCTAATTATAGCCATGATTCACTTCCATCCATCTACACTACACATAAGATGCCTGGGACAATCTGGCGTGGGACAGAGGTTAGCCAGAGGGAACCCGGCCCAGCATTGTTTATTGACAAGAAGCAATTATGTGGTTTCTTACAATCTGTGGTGATTTCGTAGGGAGAGTTGAGTCTGGCGTCTCCGCAGGGGGATGTGCTCACGTAGAGATGGAAGAGGATGTTCTCTCGCAGCCTGTAGCCTCCTTCCTTTAAACGTATGAATATTGATCTCTCAGAGTCCTCTCGATGCTTGCTATGGACACAAAGGGGATGTAGGTCACTTATGAGAAAGCAAATGAAGATGTTCCAACAGGTGTTTGCTTTTGCCTTGTCTCCTGGAGTTAGCAGTTCCCCAGTTTTTACCTCTTGTACACTCACTCATGTTGTCTGCCCTTGCACAAACACTTTGGGAACAGGCCAACATAATCAGCAGAAATGTTTCCATTTCCATCCTCCCTGACCATTCACACTTTAGCACTCTCTCTCTCTCTTCTGTGTGTGTGTGTGTGCGCGCGCACATGCGCGTGTGTATGTAGGTCAGAGGACAACTTCAGGTGTTATTTCTCAGATGCTATTTTTTGGATGCAGGGTCTCTCTTTGGTCTGGAACTCACCAAATAGGGTAAGCTGGCTAGTGAGCCTCATGGACCAGCCTACTTCAATCTCCTCAAATCTGGGATTACAAACATGTGCCTCTATGCATGGCTTTTAAAGCATGGATTCTGAGTGTCGTATTCTGGTCTTCATTCTGTATGACAATTTCTTTACAAACTGAACTATCTCTTCAACTACTCTGTTGTTGTTTTAGGTTTATCTTTTACAAGCCAGAATGTACCATGAAACCATTGCCCTCTGGGCTTTCAAGGCCCCATTCATGGAGTGTCCTGGCACACTACTGACTAAAGTAGTCTTAGAGGGTACCGGTATGTGCAGTAGAGGGGAAAGGGATTTTAAACAGTGTATCAGTTTGGGCACCCACAAACTAGGTGGAAACAGCAAACATTGCAGAATTAGCTTTTCTTCTCATCCAGGATAGATCTAGAACATACCCATGCCTCCTAATCTTGGAGCTTCATAATCCTCTTGCTTCAGGAAAACCTTCTTCATAGTCCTTAACCTCACACCTGAGCGGCCTGGCCTCCCAAGGGAGTAATGACACCACAATGGGCACCGAACAACTGAGCTGCGTTTTCTTTCCCAGACTCCTCTGCAATCCTCTGGCCATCCTTTCTGCCGTTGCTGCTGTTTGTACACATTCTGCCCCATTGGTGATGGATTCTGTGTTGCCTTGAGATATCACATGCAGGAGAAAGGACATTGTCTTCCTAGGCAACCCTGAGGATACTATAAGCTCATGTGCTGCCACCTCCTTCCTTCTGCCCAAGTGGACTCCTTCATCATATAGGGAGAAACTGCACCTAGTCTTGATCCTCAGTGCAGAGCCAGGCCCATTGAGGGAAACCTTACTTGTTCTTGAGGCTCTTTGTTGGCAGCCATTGTTGGTACCCTGCTGCAGAATATGAGTGGGGTGTGGTTGCCTTTGACTTTTCCAGACGGTTGTGCAGTGCCTAAAATGCATCTAAGTCTGGGCAAAGCTGGTGGAATTGTCTTCAGTGACATAGACAGGAGGTAGGGGGACTGGAGAACATTTCCAACTGAGCAGCTGAATATTCAGGAGAAATCCTTCCCCACATTTGAGAGCTTTCCAGCTTTTGTCTCTTCCATTTGACCCCTCACCAGGCCTCCTGGAACTGATGTGGCAATATATCATGCTGCTGTGCACTGCTCAGAGGCTCACATAAAAATTAATTGAGTGTATTAAGGTATTGCCTTTATTCGAGTCTGTTTGGCATATATTGAGGCCTTTCTTCCCTTTGTGTGACTTCTGCACCTGCTAACACGTTCACTCGCTAAAGCCCCTCTGAAATGCCATTATTAGTGGATTTGAGAAACCCTGTTTCAAAGGATAAGAAAGGGCAGCTGGGGGATTCAAGGAAAGAACGCTCTGTCAAAGAGACCCACAGCAATTAGACTAACTTGGTTCAGAAATGTGTAGGAAGTGTCTACTTTGTTTCTGCTGGAGTTTAATGTGTCTTCTAGAGATTCCAGCCCATTTACAGCCTGCTTTTTCCTAATGGCTGCCATGACAACATCAGAAATTTTAGCACGGAAGCACATTTTTTAGTACCTCTTGGGAGATAGCTTGGTTGGCAAACATGAGAGATCCAAGTTTGTTCCCTAGAACCTATGCTAAATAATATCCAGGCTTGCTGACATGTCCTATTGATCCCATTACCAGGGAGGCAGAGAAACAGGGCTGGCTTTCATGCCTTCCTGGCCAATCAGCCTACCCTATTTGGCAAGCTTCAGGTCAGTGAGAAGCTCTGTCTCAAAACAAACAAGATAAATGGCTTCTGAGGAGTGACATCTGAGGTTGTTATCTGACCCCCACATGCATACATATATACATACAAACACACACATGCACACACATGTAGACATACACATAAAACGTGTGTGTGACCAGGAAAGAGGTGAGATCTTGAAGCCTGTCAATATTGAGTTTAGCCACATTTCCTGATTTGAAATCTAGAAGTCTAAAGAATGGAATATATTTGGCAATGTGGGCACGTGGGAAGAACTGAGACCATCATGTCAGTGTGACTGAACTTTGTGGGACAAAGCCTACAGAGTGTTAAGCATCTATATCAATATGGCCACTGTGTATTTTGTATGAGTCATTGCCTTTGGTTTGCATAATGGAAACGGCCTGGCTTGGAGATGAGGACTGGAGACAATAGATAAAGTGAAAGCCCATTTATGAGCCTGGTACCCGAGAGATGGTCCTAGCCAGACACAAAGAACCCTAATATAGCTAAGAAACTATGTTGGCTGAGAAATTTTCAAAACCAAACTGACCAGGGAGCAGAGGGGCCCCCCTTTCCTTTGTAGAAATAACTGAACTGTGAGCCTTCCTTGAAGTGGACACAATTTTGTCAGAATTGAGCAGAGGTGTTAATGTCAACCTGGCACCTTTCCATGGCTGAAATGAAAGTTTTACCAGAGAGCAAGCACATTGATCCAAACCATCTCACATTGTACCAAACACCCTTTCAATTCAATCAATGGAATTACAGTTCCAGAGAGCAATTACTCCTGTTTCCCAAGAGATAGCAAAGCCATTGTTTCCTCTTTTTCTTCCTCCTTCCCTCTTTACCCCCTCTCTTCTTTCATCTCTTTTTCTTTCCTTCTTCCCCCTCCCCCCCCCCCCCCCACTGTGCTGTGTATTTCTCTGGTGTCTCCCTTCTTGAGCAGTTGCTCTTCTTGCAAGAAAACCTCAGTGATCAGTAGGTGGTCTTAGAACTGTACTGGCATGCTTTCCCATTGAGATTTATAATTTGTGTAGATGGCTGTATAAATAGCTTACTGAATGTATGGAAGATCGGGGGATGGCTGTGCCCGGTGCTCTTGTTGACATTTGAGTTTCCTAAAGAAAATAGTTATTTGAGGGATGTTATAGTAGCTGTATGAATGTTTTAACTGAAAAAATAACCAAATGGAATGAGCATGGCAAGTGCTATTCCTGTATGTCCACGCCTGTGAGCAACTGTGTGGTGGTGGTGTGTGCAACCTGTAGGTAAGCACCTGTAGGTAAGCAGGATGTTTCTTGGACTCAGATGTTGATAGCAATACAGACACCTGGTAATTTAACATCTCAGTGTCTGTGTGGTACTCAAAGGGTGCTCCAAGTCTCAATAAAAAAATAGATAGTATGTGGTACCTAGTCACTTACTATGTATCAGATCTGCCAAGACAGGTGAATGACATCTTCTGAGCTGGCTGTGGGCTTTTATCCATTGCCTGGTTACTTGGCTTCTCACTAGCTAAGCTGTGTCAGTCCAGCCCATGCCAGGGGCCCCTTTACCTCAAGTGCAGCTCCAGCTGAGTGTAGAGGAAGTGAAGAAATGCCCGCCTGGCCACTATCTCAGCATGGCAGTCGTTGACAACCAGCCCTTGGTCACTGATGTGGTCACCGCTGATACACTTGGTCCCAGAGGACAGAACGATGACCTGCGCTTGTTTGGTGTCCAAGCCTAGGGGACACAGAGGGTGGTCAGAACAGCTTAGGCTTCAAGGACCTTACTGTAAGGGACTTTTCAACCTTCTTGTAGACACCAGCCTTGGTAAACACTGGTTGACATCCACGCTTATGCAATAATTAATCTTCATTGTTAACTTGACTATATTTAAAATCATTTAGGAGAATTGTTAGACAAGGCTCAAGATATAGTTATGAAGCTGTTTCCAGAGATGACCAACTAATAGGGACATTTTATTCTGGATGCAGTGCACCATCCTCTGGGCTGGGAACTGTCATGGAACAAAAGCGGGTAAAGAAGAAAGCAAGTAGAGTATGAATAGTCCCCTTGTTTCTGCTTCCCAGCCCACTAGGATGCAAGTTTCTTTATCCTAACATGGCATTCTGGAAACAATGGACTGATATCTCTGAAACCATGGTAAAAATAAATAATTCTTTCCTTTAAATTGTTCGCAACTACATTGTTCCTCCGCACAAAAGCCTCACAGTGTTTGAAAGCTCACCCTGCATAGCAGTGCTGCTTGGGAAGGCTGTGGAAGAAGGAACATTGAAGAGGTAGAGCCTCATTGGAGGAAGTGGGTCACCAGGGACAGGCAGTGACATTTCATAGCTGGTCCCACTTCCTATTCACTCTCTGCTTCCTGACCATGGGTGCAACATGACAAGGCATCTCTTGCTGCCATGGTAGACCATAGAACTGTATAGCCTTTGGAACTGTAAGCCACAATAAACCAGTCCTTTCTATGTTGCTTCTTGTCAGATATTTTGCCACAACAATGAGAAAAGATACCAGGATACTGGGGAGACACTTGTGTAGATGAGGTATATGAATGTTGGCTCTTATTTTTTTCAGCTTTCAAGATCCATGCAAGTAGTGGAATCAGATAACCTTATTCCTTCACCTTCTATCCAAAATGTGCTTCCCTCTCTAAGATCTTTGTTTTACCTAGCACACTCGATCATTGTGGGGACACCTGCCTTTTGATGTCTTATACGTCAGTAGAGTTCTCCTCTGAAGCTATAACAAAGTCCAGTGGTTTGGAACACTCAAGAGTGTGTGGCTTACCTACATCTTGTGCCTCAAAAGCAAGGCAAAAAAATGAAACATGGTTATGGGGTTGATGCTTAGGCCTCTTAGGGCACAGAAGTATGAAGGCTTGTGACATTATACAAGGTCAAGTTCAGAACATGTCCCCTCTACAATCACATTTCACAGGTTGAGGCTGGAGCTGGTGAAGTGGTGTTTGAAGGTGCACCCCCTCTTGAAGGTTATCCTGTTTAGGGTTGGAAACTATCATCAGAGAGTGACCAGTGTGGGCAGAAAGACCAGTACCACTCTGAGGCTGCCACAACTGACAACAGCCTTGACAAGGAACTTTGAGCTATGACCATGACCACTGCATGGGATCTGGGCTTGCTCCAATCTCATTTCAGAGGCTGTGATTTAGCGGCACGTGTCTATATGCTTGTCTCAAACCTTTAAATGTCTCTTCTCTTTCTATCTGTTCACTGTACATGGTGTTGTAGTATATAAGAACATTTAAGATGTTTGACAGTTTTATACATATATTTGTACTAATCCCAACCACATTGAACCATATCTTTCCCTTTCTAATCCCATTTTCACCCTCATAAGCCTTGCTTTTTCTGATGAATTTCTACTGTCCCACTTTCATGTCTTTTTCTTTGGTTTTTGGTTTATTTTCTGACCCACTGAGTTCAATTGTGACTGGATGGATATCCACTGGAGCATGGGTGGTGAGTACACCACTGAAGACAATGAATTCTCAGCCCCAAGCAGCCACATACTGCCAATATCCCCCAGGGAGGGTCCAGCTCACTTGAGTCCCTCCTCTACCTATGATGGGATATTGTTTGGGCCACTCTTGTGCAGCAATTGCAGTAGCTATAAGTTCATTGGTGCAATGGCCATGCCATGCCCAGAAGATAGCATTTCATGGCTCTACTCTTTGTTGTCTGGCTCATACCAAGGGCATTTTAATAAAGCATATATTGTACATTGGATACATTTCCTCATATCTTCTACCTCACTCTTCTCATTGCCACCTCTCCCATCAGTGTCCTTTGTCTCTCTAGACACTTCTGCTTTTATTTTGTACTATACACACACACACACACACACACACACACACACACACACACACACACATATATATATATATATATATATATTAGGTATCTAAATAAAATACATGTTTCCTGAATCTTAGACCTAAGAAAAATGTCACAGATTCATAATAACAACAGAACTGAGGGGAGATTCACACTACACTGGAAATTCTAAGTTCCTTCCTCTTCCAGGAGCTTTGGGATAGATGGGAGGAAGCAGGCAGCAGTACTTCCTTCTGCTTACATCTAGTGAATCTCTTTCAAGTTTTGTGAGGTTTGCATAGAGTACTAAAGGAGCAGCCCCAAGTTATTTCACTGCTTCCTGGTCTATTTAAGGGTCATGCAACTGCTGATCTTTGGGGCTTATAAAACCCGAGGAGCATATATTTTTTATGGAATGATTTATAGAACTATGAAAGTGAGCTTCTGCCTGTGACCAGCGGAGAGAATAACAGCTCCATCAGGATTGCCAAAGGCAATTTGTACAGATACCTTAAGTTACCATGATCGTTACTTAGATATTCTCAATACGTGGCGAGAACAGAGAGTTTGGAGGCCACAGTTACTGAATGGCTACTTAAAGAAACCTGCTTGAGGTGTCAGAGAGATGGTTTAGTGGGTACACTAATTGTGGTGCAAATGTAAGGACCTGAGTTTGAATCCCTAGAACCCTTGTAAAGTTGGGTGCTCTTGTACCCCAGCACTCCTACAGTGAACAGGAAAGTGAGGACAGAGAAGTCCTGGGGGCTTGAAGGACAGCTAGCCTGCTGTGGCAAACAAGAGACCTGATTTCAAACAGGATGGAAGGTTAGGACTGATGCCTGAGGTTGTCCTATCACACACACACACACACACACACACACACACACACACACACACCACACATACAGATGCATAGATACAAACCTTCTTGGATAACCAGTTCCTGACCTATAAAATGAGGGGTACTTTCTTTTTTGCTTCACTTGGCCATCTCCAAATTTTTACCCTCCCATCCCTATTAGCTCAACCATTAGGAGTTGACCATACCAAAAAAAAAAAAAAAAAAAAAAAAAAAAGCACTGAAAATTTTATGACTTATTTTTCACAAGACAATGCTTATTTGTTCAATAGCCAAAGTAACTTTGTCAACAAAAAAAAAATGGCTCTCTGGCATCACTGAAAATAAATTCAAAACTTAAGGCCTTTAAATTACTATAAGGACCACCGACCGCTGTCTGAGGTGACCCCAAAAGACTATGAATCAAAGATAATTCCTTCTCCTGGCCCTGTGGATACAAGTGTGGATATACATATTCTCCTCACTTCGATGGTGAATTCCTTGAGGATAGAAATTAGAATTTCCATGAAATCCTCTAAGAAGGGGCTCCCTAGGAGTCTGTGTAATTAGGGAGATTGTGTCAGTCCCTGTTGGAGAGTCCAATACAAATCCAATATTCAAGGTCCTGCAGCTGAAAGTCAAGGGGACGGGGCTGGGATGCCCAGCAGCCCTGCTCCATGTATGAGCACACTGCTGTTTGCTGAGCTCTGGATTCCATGTGGCATGTGGTTGGTGCGGAGTGCTGGCTTAGTCTCAGATTTTTACTGGGCTCTGTTAAGCTCTTTGATAAATTTATGTATGAACCATTTCTTTAACAAGACGGTATGTAAATTGGGGCCCCCAGTGGAGCAGACCTTCTATTTTTAATAAGATTTACTTCTCCAAGTGCAAACAGTGCTGAGAGCCTTGTAAAGTACTCACTACAGACTTGTTCTAACTCAAGACTTGGTCACTGAGGACTAAACTCTGAAGTCTTGAGTGACCTCTGTCTCTACTTCCTCTCCCTTATCCCCAGCTTGGCTCTTCCTTTATGGGACAAAACAGGGGCCAGATATAGGGAGGAACGGAAAGGATATGTAGCTGTGAAGAAGCAGAGGGTCAATCCACTCTACCAAGCTATAACCTCCACAGCAGCTGAACTGAGCTGCCTTCTCTCTGGGACAACTCCACAACCGGTCTGCCCCTTTCCTCCTTAGAAAAGCCTTCCACAGCTTACTTCCTCCTACTTTTGTTGCCCCCCTGGCTTCTGGTGACTTCCATTTCTCAAAAGGACTCAGGTGTCCAGGACATGCTGTGTTTCTACTGTCTCCTGCCCCTTCGGTGGGATTTAGTTTCTTGGTGATCTTTTGAGGACTTGTTTAGTTCTCAAGGCAGCAGCTACTCTGCTTTGAGAAAAGCAAGTGTAGAACAAGAGCAAGAAGAGCTTTCTTCTTGCAGGGATTGCGAAAACAGCAGGACTCCGGTGGTGTTTTCCTTGGGTCCAGGGAGCCTGTCAGCTTAGTCATTCCCTAGGTGGGCTGCCTCCTGGTTGTGGGTCCTAGAGGTGGAGCTGATAGTCATTTGCCAGCAGGGAGCAGCGTAAGCCAGCCAGTCACCTCTCCCAGGGTGACTGGGAGCCATTTTTCTAATTGAAAGAGTTAACAGGATCCCTGGACTGTTGAGGACCAGTTAATGAGGGCACCTTCTTGATGGAGAAAGCATTTTCAGATTCTAGCTTCATTAAAGCAGGTATTTCAAGTGATGCAAACTAACATTTCTAACTCTTCTTTAAAGTGCTTCAGCATTCAGGTGGCGGGCACACATGTACTCTACTCTTTCAGAGTAGGCACTGTGGTTCCCAAGGCCCTGGCTTCTTTTGAGTTTGTGGAAATTAGAGCTGTAGAAAAAAAAAGCTGCTTTCCCTTTGCCCCTCATTAATTCTTAACGCTGCCTGACTCCAGGCTCTGCCATACTTAGTACAATTATGCGGCTCAAGAAATGCATTATTTGCTGATTCACTTTTCATTAATCTCACCCACAATGTGCCAGCATCAAGCTGGAGACAT